TCATTGCACGCCCTGGTGGATAGAAATTCAGAGGCTACTGACACTGGGGGGTTAGTTAGTCTGTCGACGGTAGCAAACAAGGCACGTGCGTTGTTTTTGTTTTTGGTAATGATGTCAGAGAAGAACGATTGTCGTGCGTTTTTCAATTCCAAATTATAAAGGCCAAGTCTCTCTTTATAGATTTCAAAGTGAACCTGGAGATTTGTTTTTCGCCACCTGCGTTCAGCTTTTCGACACTCTTGTTTCTGTTTTCACGGTGATGGCCTTTCTCCATGGAGATATTTTCTTGCCAATCACTTCCTTTACCTTAGTTGGAGCAATGGCATCTATAACATTTTTAATTTTTGAATTAAAATGATCTACTAGCTCATTTACTGAGATGTTAGCAGGGGCAAGTGTGGAAGAAAAATTCTGAGTAAACATTTCCCTAGTATTTTCAGTTAAATATCGCTTTGTGGTTACCTCTTTTTGAACATTCTTGTGAACAGAAATAGAGCTCTCAAAGAAAACACAGGAATGGTCAGAGAGTGAAACATCAGTCACCACAACCTTAGAGATATTCAGACCCTTTGAGATAATTAAGTCCAGAGTGTGCCCCTTATTGTGCGTGGGCTCCGTCACATGCTGAGTCAGTCCATAGTAATCAAGAACACAAAACAGTTATTTAGCCCCTCTGTCCTGGGGGTTGTCAACATGGATGTTAAAATCACCAACAATGACTAGACGGTCAAAGTCAATACACACTATAGACAGCAGTTCAGTAAAGTCATCAAAAAAGCTTGCACAGTATTTGGGTGGTCTATAGATATTTAGGAACAGAGCTCGAGAGGAGCATTTCAGCCGAAGGGCCACATATTCAAAAGAAGCAAAGTTTCCATATGATGTCTTCCTGCATTGAAGGGAATCATTGAACAGAATAGCAACTCCACCCCCTTTCTTATGCATTCTTTCCTGACTCGTAAAACTAAAGTTGGGAGGGGTTGATTCGATAAGAACAGCTGCACTGTTATTTTGTTCAATCCAAGTTTCTGTTAAAAACATAAAATCGAGATTGTGCTCAGTGATAAAATCATTGATTAAAAATGTTTTTCCTGCCAAAGACCTGACATTTAATAAAGCTAGTTTAAGTTTGTTAAACACACTATCAGTCATGTTTTTTGTAACAAGCTGTGGCTGGCATGGAATCACTGCTAAATTAGATAAACTCACACAAACGTTTGAGCGCTTCCTGTTTCTAAGATGATCCACCGCTCTTAATCTATTACCTATCAACACAGATATCGGCAAAGCTACTGGCAGGCAGGGCCCCGGCATGTCCTGGAAAGAGTTGAGAGTGCCATACGCCCTTGAGCCTGGACCCATCACATATCAGTAAGAGTTTGTTGTGTTTTGTACACACACATCCTTATCAGGCTTCGGAGACTGCAGATGCTTTCTTGAAGGGAGGGGAGGTGGTCGACGTAGGCACGGTGATGGAGACGGGGGAGATGGTGCGGGGGTAGAGGACATGCTGCCAGGGGGGGGGAGGTGGTTGACGTAGGCGCGGTGATGAGGACGGGGGAGATGGTGCACGTCTCCGCAGTGATTTTGGTGGGCATCGTTGAGGAGCGGGCGTAAAGGACATGGTGCCAGCCCTGCGTATCGCCTTCGTTTGGTCTTTGAACTCCAGGAAGGAATCGGTGCCAACCCTCTGTATCTCCTTTGTGTGTTCATCGATCTCCAGGAGGGTGGGCGAGGGTGAAAGGGTGAACGGAGTATCCTCAAAGGCGTTGACAGGGGGGGGGGGGGGGGGGTGACGGGCAGTGGAGACTCCTCCATGTGTCTCATAGGTCTCCCATAATCAGAACATTCCTCAGGCGGGTGCAGTGATAATTCTTCAGGGTTTTCTGCGTGATGTGTTGTGTCTTTCTCCTGTTTTGATTCCTCTTGCCGCTTGTCCTTGGCAGAGGGAACAGATTGATGACGCAGGCAGTTGAATATGTTAGAGATAAACAATTTCACTCCTGACTTGTTCAGGCAAACTCCATTTGCCTTGAAAAGATGTCTGCGATCCCAGAAAAAGTTAAAATTGTCAATAAAATGAACAGAATGGTCAGTACAGGCAGTTGAAAGCCAGGTGTTCAGTGAAAACAATCTGCTGAATCTCTCCACTCCTCTTCTGACTGGCGGTAGAGGGCCACTGATGAACACCTCTGCATTTAGACAGCTGGCAGTTTCCAACAAACAGACTCAAACTTAGACTAAAGTGAACTATCTAAACACTCAAGAGTCCTTTACCTCACTGAGCTGTAGTTATCAGTCTGACTGGAGAGGACTCTCCCTCCACATTATTGTAGAAATATCTTCTTCTTATCTCCGTTAGAGCAGCTAGCACCAGATTCTAATAACAACAGCGCTGGTACCAGTGCACCCTCCCTCTCTCCCTCGCTCACTCGCTTTGGCTGTGAGCTGCGGGCGCCAGATAAGCCAACATCCCCCATTTTCATCACTTACAGCGCCCATCGTACAGGGCAAATGAAACGTGTACCCGGGGTGAAAAGGGTGTTACATTTACTTAATTATATAATGTTTTTTTCCCTCCCAGAACTGCCAGCGCAGCGCCCCACCAGATCTGGCGCCCTAGGCGAACATCTAGCCAGTGCTACGGGCCGGCCCTGAGTTCATATCATGGTTCATATGCAACTCGCAAATATCTATTTTTGGCGGAGGTGCGCATGCGCACCTGCGCACCAGTTATGTGCAGCCCTGAATATATGTCATATGTATTATTGCTACATACATATTATATCGCAGTTTTAGTTTCGCCAACTCCGTTTCTAATATGCAATAAGACTACAACATGCGTCTATGATGTATTTTCGAGCTTTCCAATCCAGACGAGATCTCTCCCTCCCGTCTGTGTGCGAGGGGACGGGGCCGTTTGTAAAGGTCTCCTGACTGTGTTACAGACTGTCATCCTGGTTAGTGGTTACTCTGGGTTCTGTCTTCAGGACAGAGTGTTGGATGTTTTGTTAATTGGATGGGACTTGATTGGAGTCAATATTAGAGTAATTTTCTCGTTTGTGTGTTTGTTTAAATATATTTGGCCTTGTTTATGTGATTGAATGATTTACTCAAATAAAAAGGTTGATGAATTATCATCTAATGATTTGTATGATGTTTTATTTATGTTAAAGGTCACTTTGAATGATTTTAACTAATGATAATGTAGAAAAACTAACATTTTAAATTCGGGACGGTCCACATTAATTTCGGGACGGCTTAGATTGTATTTCGGGACGGTTCCGGGAGGATAGTGAAAAAAGTTATTCGAGAGCCCTGCCGGCTCAACTGGTTAAACAGCTCCAAGACTGAAGCCATTCTAGTTGGCACTACTCATCAGGTCCATTCATCCTCCGTCATCAGCATCACCTTCTCCGGTCATAACATTCCACTCTCATCAACTGTTACCAATCTGGGAGTCAAAATGTATCCTCACCTGACCTTTGAGGCCCACATCAAACAAACATGCAAGACCTCCTTCTACCATCTGAGAAATATCTCTAAACTCCGCCACACACTCAGTCTGCCAGATGCTGAAAAACTTGTCCACGCCTTTGTCTCCTCCAGGCTGGACTAATGTAACGCACTTCTCATTGGGATTCCTAGCAAGAACATCCAGAAGCTGCAATACATCCAAAACAGCGCTGCAAGGATCCTGATGAGAGAACGGAAGTATGAACACATCCCACCCATCCTCAAATCACTGCACTGGCTCCCTGTCTCACTCAGGATTGACTACAAAATCACGCTCTTCACTCATCAGTGCATATATGGAAATGCTCCCTCCTACATCAAATAATTGCTCACCCCACAAACCTCCACGAGGAACCTAGGATCAGGAAAGGCAAACCTCCTCCTTTCCCCCAGGACCAAACTGAAAACCATGGGAGACCGAGCCTTCTGCTCCGCTGCTCCGAGACTGTGGAACACCCTCCCAAACCAGCTGCGGACACCACAGACTGTGGATGCTTTTAAAAAAGGCCTAAAAACGCATATTTTTAGAATAGCCTTTTACTAGATTTTGTAAAAAAAAACACATTTTGCCATGCCGGCATAAATGTCACTGCTTTTATTCTGTTGTTTTAATTGTTTTTTTTGTTTTGTTTCACCCTTTTTACTCTGTAGCACTTTGAGTTTTGTTTACGCGAATGAAAAGTGCTCTTATAAATAAAATGGATTATTATTATTATTACTGTCCTTAGGGTAAACCCACGAGAGAGAAAGCGTTTTGAGCTCCATACTGTTTCCAGTCCCCAACTCCGGGGACTTCCGGCCGGGGACTTGTATACGCCGTGAAGTGGTTTGCGGCCTGCCAGTAAACCCAAAGCAGAAGAAGAAGAAGTGACGTCATTCCTTCATTTGCCTAATCCTCCCACAGGGACTTCATGAGAACTAAAGAGTTCTCATGAACTATGTTCTCATGAACCTTTGTGGGAAAAGTACTGCGGTGTGAATGCGCCTATTTAAAGGGCCAGACCCAGAATCAGCACTTTAGTAACAGGGCTGAAATAGAGGGGTATGAGGCATGCTACAATGTGTTGTGTATTTTGAGCAAAACACTTCAGAGACATGTTTTGTATAGATATGGCCTTATTGTTCAAATATAGTATAATATGGCACCTTTAAAGTAACACACCTGCATAGGTACATATGATTTGCAACGTATGTACCTTTTTTGGACTTGCATACAGACATACAGACTTGCATATAGAAAATTATTTATATTTGGATATGTAAACATAATTCTATTGTTGATATTTTATTATATACTGCTTTTTACATTCTTTATTCCTATTTATCCTTGTGTTAACTCTTACCTGTCCTGTATTTAAATTGTAATCCTGCTGTTGCTTAAACATCTACATTTCAATAAAGGTCTATCTTAAAGACAGACTGTTGTGCCATTATTCTGTCTTACTATACTGTTTAAAAGGAAGGAAAGAAAGAGTCCCCCCCACCTGTCTCAGAGTTGGGTTGGAGGTTGTGTATTTTGGCCCAGCCGAGGACAGCCACGCGTCGAACACAGGCCGCTCTGTCCCTTAGGCCTGCAGTCAGAGGCTGCTCCACATACTCCACCAGACTGGGCAACCTGGGGGGCGCGCACACACACACACACACACACACACACACACACACGGGTCAGTCCTGCAGCCCGTGAGAGGGTTTGCGGTCCCTGTGTGCAGCAGCTCACCGGAGGTTGGTCATGTTCCTGAGGGCCAGGCTGCGCACCATGGGGTTGGGGTCCTGGCAGTCCTTCCTCAGCGTGTTGATGACCAGCAGAGACAGCTCGGGGTTCAGAGCGGCGTAGGAACACAGGAACACGTAGACCAGTTTCTTCTGGACGATGTCCGCTGTGGCACACGCTTTCACCATCTCACTGAACAGGCCGGACACATCCACACCCTGAGACATCGCACTGATGGGGGAGGGAGCGAGAGGGGGAGAGAGATGTTCAAATATAATAAGAGGCAGTGACCCTTACTTCCAGGTTCTTCCTTCCTGCAGCAGTCAGGCTCTACAACCACCACGGCGCCTGGTAGACCACCACACACACACAGACTGGAATACACCTAATGTGCAATTTACCCTTTATTTTTCTTTCAATTTACTTACAATCTGTAAACAGTAGCAGCTACCACTTTGATATGGTCCCTTAAATATATATACTGTTACTTTTTCACCATGGTGTACTTTGTTATTTGTTTGACTTATTGTGCTTATATTATTAATAATGTGTGCCAAATAAGATTTGTTTTATATGTAAGGCTATTCTCTTTACTTTATCTGCACTGTACTTGTGCTGTTGTAATAACGGAAAGTTAGCCATGTAAAGGAATTCTGATTCCGAGGACAACAGTTTACTCTGGGAGTCTGTAAACAAACAAGTTTACAGTGTGACATTGGAGTCTTTAAAAGAAAGAAAACACGTTGTTGTCCTCCCTATTAACATACACCAGGGGACAGAATATAAAAAAACATGAATCAAACCATTTCCTCACATTTCTACAATCTTTTAAACAACACACTTTGACTTTTATCTTACAGGTTTTAGAGGAAACTAAAGGGAATATCAAACACCTTAAATAACTTAGCAACAGTTTGACAATGTGAAATAAAACAACAATACTGTATGTTATAGCACCTATAATGTTTATTAAGCTCATATAAATGTTTATAAGGTTATCGAAAAACCTCAATGGAATCCTTTTGAAGCTGGACTTGACTATGACCATGTACCCTTTAAAGTTGTATAGCGTTTGTATTGTTAGCCGTAAAGGGAAGTTGGCCATGATTTCCCTCCAAACCGGTTCGGTAAATAACCTCACATGTTGATAGTCAAGGTCTACATACATAGTCAGGATTCAATTGAAAAGGTTGGCCAACCTCTTAAAGGAAATATGAGGACAGTTTCAATATGTAACCATGTGTTTTGCAGTAATTATATGTACATTGAAACTTCTTCAAGATTCAAAGTCAGAAACATTTGGAGTAGAAATTCATTGCAATTCTAAAAAAACGATTATTATGATTTGTAATTTGGACTGGAATGAAAGATTATAGTTTGTGTAAAACAAATCAGTGTCAAAATGTAATGTAAAAAATGTCATTATTATTACATTTTATTTATTATTGATCATATATACAGTATGTTTTAAAAATATAAGTATAATGATACAAAAGTTGTCTGTGAATTAAGATAATATATAAGCATCTTCAAACTTAGAAACACAAAAAATGAGATTTCAAAAAAATCTTTCAAACCCTAAGGTGAATTCTTCAAAGAATAACGTAACCTTTTCATTTATTATTTTATTGAAGTTTATTTATGACAATTTCAATATATATTTGTATTGAAAGTAATAGTGTTTTCTCTGTACCATTATGGTGAATATGTAAATAAACAATTGAATATATAAGTGATAATATTGCTGGTCATATGAACAACATGCATGTCAGATGTCAGACAGTTTTGCTGAACACATGGTTGTTTCTTTCTTGTTGCCTGTTACAAGAAGAACCACTCCCGTAACAGCTAGAGTAGACCGCCATCACAATACAAAAGGGCCCCATTGTCAGACGGGTTCGACAGGATATTTTCTGCGGGGAACCCTTATACAAGAACCGGTCACAAAGCGCTGAGGACCATCACCTACCGGAGGACCTTGAGCACGGTGTTCCGGTATCGCAGCGGGTCGGACTGGATGTGGGGGTTACACAGAGCCCTCCTCAGCTCCCGCTCCGTGTCCTCACTGCCCAGATACGGCATGGCGGACACACGCAGCAGCCCACACTGTGTTAATTTAAAATATCACCTGCGACATTACACTATTCTTAATCAGAAGAAATGTTACTTTTAAAGACATGTGATATTTTCAATTGGGGGGTTCATTCCTATTTCCATGACTCGATTGTTTACACCGTGCGCACTTCCGCATTTCTTCTTCTGCTGTTAGTTTATGTTACCTTTGTGATATGCTGCCCTCTGCTGGTCGGCGTAGAGTGGGCATGTTTATGCATCATTAGAAGAACGCGTTTTTTATTTATTACATTTTTGGGTAACACTTTACAATAAGACTACCCTTATAAAGGGTTTACGAATACTTTGTAATTCATTTATTAATTAGGTTGTGAACACTTTATAAATCATTTATAAGAGATAAGCAGGGCAACTGTGACCGGTTGCTTGCCAAATAGGGAGCCCACATTTATCTGTAGGCTACTGCTAAGCCTTATGGCTACTTAGCTTACTTCGACTTCTTCGTCAGCCAGCATCCTTGGTATCTGTTGTTCACTGAGTTGATTCTCGCTAAGTAGCCAATATAAGGCGTAGTCATCTTGCCAAATAGTGAGCCTGTGTTGATGTATGAAAACTATGTTAGAACTGGTTCTTAATGATTAATAAAGTGTTTACAAACTCATTCAAAACCTAATCATAAACCCTTTATGAATCCTTTATAAGGGTAGTCTTATTGTAAAGTGGTACCCATTTTGGTAACTTGTTAGTAGTCATGTAGGCTAGACATAGCATAAAACACATCTAATAGAAAAACATAACAGTAGGTACATAAATATTAGAAATTAAACTTAAGTATAAGACATTTGAATCAGAATCAAGCAAGGAATTTGCTTTGGTATCTAGTGAAGTTGCACCGATAAAGAAAGGTGTTTCCTACTGTGTGCTGTGAAACATATGGAATGCATTATGTTAAAGTGGACCTATCATGCTATATTTGAATAATATATTGTAGGGCCATACCTATATAAAACATGTCTGTGAAGTTTTTTTTTCAAAATACCAAACAGATCATGCATTTTAGCCATACCTCATTTCGCTCTATTTGCTCTTTTCCAGCCCTGTTTTTGCAAGGGCTGATTCTGTGAGAAGTCTTCTTCGCTGCTTTTGTGGCAGACTACAGCGCCACCTAAAGGCCTGAACATATGTACTACAGCGTCTCCAGCGCTTTCCAGCAGCAATGGCCGTGGCCCAACCCCCCATTCCCCTGATAGGTGGAGAGTTGCCCATATAGGCGGAGCACCACTTTTCTGACGTCAGAAAAATTCAAATCTGTATCAGTCTGTATCAGTTCCGTTTTTAGAGATTTGGGTATAGAGGAAAAGAGAGAGGGTTGTGTTTTCTGACACTTGGTGAGTTCCCCGAGACACCGGGGACACATATTCATGTATAAAAGACGTACAAACGTGCATTTTGCATGATAGGTCCCCTTTAAGGTATGTATATTTATTTAGACTCTTTACCATTTGAGATTACGCTTATAAACTTCATGTAAACTCATTCTCACATCAGGGATGCACAATATTAGATTTTGTAACTCATATTCACTATTTGCTGATACTGATATTTCCTTCCTGAAGAAAACATTAAGTTGCTTCTGTAGTGGAATAATCATATTATTATGCCTAGGTTTATAATTATATTCAATTTACAGATGCAGACATGAAATGCTCTGCAAATGAAAGAGATTACATTTATCTTATTCTAATATATTGGCCTTTCCTTTCTCCCAATATTGTTGGTGCCTATTTCATCATTTATATCTAACTCACATGACACTCGGACATATGACAGTATGTTGATGTTGCTTTTATTGATTGTGAAAACAGGAAATCTAGAAACATGGACAGCTTAAGACCTCCAGCAGTCTAAATCCGACCCCAATCCAAAGGCAAACATCCACTCCACCTGCCCCCATCGACAGGGATTTAAAGGCAGAGCTTCATTAAAAGGAAGGGTGGGAGGGACTTGGTGCTGGACTGCCCATCAGCTGACACAGACATTCTGAACGCCCCCCTGCTGGTCCAAAGGAAGCTGCTCAAGCCTTCCTGTGGCCCTGAGGGCAGAGCCAGGTGCCATTCTTCTCCAAATTACACATTTAGCAACATCAACAAACAATTACATCATCCACCTTCAAAAGAAAAGTCCTGATCAACTTCCCCACAGCAAAACACCCCAGTCAAATTATTAAATATCAAACACACACATTTACACTCAATTTGCATGACTAACTGGCCACAATGATTTGGAATGTTTTTTCTTAAGAATTTTTGTTTTTGCATTAAGATGTATTATACAAATGTGTATGGATTAGGGTAGGCAGATCATGATACATTTCATTCCAACACGGTGAAAGGAAGGCCTAATTTCAGCATCTTTTTCCAAAGATGGATAAATTATTGTGTGCTGTCCATTCCCTCTCCCGCTGCAAAGGATGACTCAGCACTTTGACTAAAAAAGGGGGGTAAGATGGACAGTAACTTCAACACACTCAAACACACGCCGGGGATCAGAGTCTATGACAAGTTGGGGCTGGGGGCGGGGCTGCTGGAGTGGTTCTCCTGAGTGGCTGCCTGGCTTCCTCGCGGTGGGACCTCAATGATGCGGGGCTTGTCAATAATGCGAGCGCGGCGGTCGCCTTTTTCTACAATTCCGATGATCCACGCTCCACCGGGCGCCCCCTGACCTCCAGCTCCAGAGCTCTGGCTCTTCATCTCAGAGCAAAACTTGGCTGCTTGCTCTCTTGGCAAACACACCAGCAGCCCGCCTGGGGGAGGAGAAGGAGTTTAGGAAGGGCAGCAGCTTAATACTATTTCATAGAGATGTGCAGTGACAACGTTTTTATTGTAAGTGGAAGAAGTTAGCATCACAAGGTTTTTTTTCATTGAAATTAGCAGAAAATAAGATCTGTGACAAACACACGTTCATGATACTTACACATTTTGTTCAGCAGTATAATCTCCACATATTTAATACCACTGTGATTTTTTTAAGCCTAACTATAGTCGTCAGAAGTAAACCACTACAAATAAGCTATAAACCTAATGGCTGCACATCACCAACACTAAGCTAAAGGTAGCTCATTTTTAGTGTGAAGGTATTTAGTAGTCTAGTTTTGCCACACAGAAGCTTTGGACATCAGGAGTGGGGTATTTACTAATGCGTTTCATGTCGTAGAACAAAACGTGAAAAATCTCTTCAGCTTGTGTAAACCACAGCATTTAACAAAAAACACGTTCCAAAAGGCTAAAAAGGACTCATTCCTGCACTACTCTTTCCTTCTCGATAAATCCATTAGTTGTGTATTCTTTAAAATGTAAGAAAATGGTGTAAAAAAAAAAAGAAATATGATCTGTGTTTCCTAAATCCCAAGATGACGTCCCCAATTGTATAGCTAGAAACATATTCAGTTTAATGTAGTAGAAAATTACCAATAATATTCACAATTAAGGAGCTGTATACTTTGCTGTGGTTGTCTCATTTCATACCAGAAGTCTCTGCTGACGTGCCCTGCACCAGGTTGAACAGGTTTCCACAGGCTTTACTGATGGCGGCCATCTTGGCTAGGATAGGTAGGTTGTGGATGACGAAGGCCACCTCGTTGCGTTGCTGTGCTGCCAGGTTGTTGGCGTGTCCCAACAGCCCGTAACCGGTCACATCTGTGGCAGCGTGAGCCTGGAACTTGTGCATTAGACCTGCCGCTGAAAATACCAAAACAACTTTGATCAAAATACAGAGAGTCACAAGAAGAATTTAACATCAACTGGAACTACAACCAGTAGTCTGATGCATGTTCAGCCAAATTCTCTTTGTTCCCCCTTCACAACTAAATAAATGTATGACAGCATTTAAGAGCAATTTTCATCGAAGCGCATCTTGTTCATCTTGTCCATTTTCAAAAATAAAATGTCTCCAATATGCCGCAACGGAGTACATTTAGATCAGGGATGGGCAACTTGGATGGTGGTGGGGGCCACGCAATGTATGTACTGGCCACCAGGGGGCCGCAGATTCACTTGGAACACACACACACACAAATTCCATGTGTTGTATGTAGAGATGTCCCGATCTGATCACGTGATCGGGGATCGGAGCCGATCACGTGATTATCAAAAGATCGGAATCGGGAGATAAAAATCGGGGATCGGGATTTTTTTTTATCAAATGTTTTTTTTTAAATTTAATGTTATAAAACTAAAATGACCTTGTTCACGTCTTAAAGTCGTCCTGAGGCCTTAGTTTTGGTTTAAAATGACCCAACATCATGTATGTGTTGCTTCTTTTGGGCTTGTTTTCAGACCTGGTTGCTTATTTCTCTCAAATCTGGCAACAGAGTGGGCGCAGTGTCTAATAGTAGCAGCAAGCTAACGAGAGGCTACGTTCAGCTGGTGACTCGGGAGTCGGGACAGAGAAAATGTCAGGAGTTTGGAAGTATTATAAAATTGAAAGCGAAGGCAGTGTAATATGGGCTCAGAACAGTCTCATAATACACACATGCGCACAGAAGGATTCACACTTGTATTTCATGATCTGCAAAAGGATTCAAACTTGTATTTCCGGATCCATACTTGTGTTTTTCAATGCACACACAAATGTATTCCGTTTCATATTCATGTAAATAAAATCCAAATACAGAAAAAAGTTTTACATATGTATTTTTGATCCTCACATATTAGTTTTCCGTTTAAAACCTCTGCACCTGCAAACACAAACCGCTTTCTGTGCACGGATCGCTGTGCATTCGTGTGTGGGTTTTTTGAGACTCCCCTGACGGTCAGCCGATTCGTACTTGTAATTATTTCTATCTATAGCCAATCAGATGTCTCCTCAATTCTAAGCCAATCACATGAGCGCGCCCCCACGAGGGTAGATTTCTTGCGTTTATGACGTAGCGCTTCATGTACGCATTTTGCGCAGTCCGGAGCTGACAGGTCCATGGAGCCTGCCTGCAGGCGCTAATCTCAGGACACCCTCCACTCTCAGTACAGCGCCACTTTCCGAACAGGAAATGCACGCAAATACAAGCCTTTATATTATTAAGGTACAGCGCCACTTTCCGAACCATTGATGAATGCTTGTGTACACAAAAACGGCAGGCAAAACCGTTTTAAATGTGTGTTTCCTGTATGGCGAATACAGCTGCTTTATTTATGTCTGTATGAAGTTG